ATGCCTCGTTTTCAAAGACAGGCAAACCGCTGCATTCATTTGCTAGTATTTGCTGCAGCAGCGATTCTGTGGCACAACAGGCCTGGATGCCCTTCCGTTCGAGGCTCCTTTGTGCTTGATGTGTCGTAGCAGACCTCGATAGCTCCAATCATTCTTCACTCTATCGTTAAAATCCAAGGACCGAGAACCCAAAGACTACCTCGATCTCCTGATAGGTAGTGTCAGGTGACATTTTTAGTTGTTTCATTCGTCGTTTCCGCCAAGTAGACGGAGTTCATTGGGTAGGGGCTGATCCATAAGCCCAGTGGACGTAAATAGTCCTTCATGAGTGATTTGAAATATATGTGTAATAGTTTCAGCTGTTACAGACTAATTTGAGGCGATGTCTGATCACTTCAATGTACACAATAATGGTCGAAAACATCAATTTTTCTTACTTTTTCCCTAGATCAGTGCCCTCATATAGTATCCACAACAGTCTAAATACCAGGCAGAGGATCTGTAATAGCAGATTTTTGCGGTAAGCGGAACATTTCGAGAGCCCTTTTCACCGGTTATACAAGTAGTAAAACGTCTATGGGCAGCATCTATTCGAGTGGCGATGTTAGATTTGCTCTTTTCTTTCGATAGCAAAACGGTCCAGAGATACTTAAAGCAAACAAATTTTTCTCAACCGGCGTTCGTTATGCGCAAAGGTCCCTTGACTTAGTCAGCATACAGCTGAAAGTCATTTTGCTTTTTCAGCGATAAATGCCCACCTGATTTGGAAATCCTGTTCATTGACTGACTCTCATGCAAAATATCATCGTTATTCCCGACTGAATGAAACTACTCCCTTTCCGCATTTACTAGAAGCTTTATCTAGAGTTCACTAGAACCTTGTTGTTTTTTGGCCCCGATCAGACAATGCGAGTCACGAAAATTTCCTAATGACCAATTTCATCCTTATCATGTAGTGTTTTGCGGTCAGGTCGTATAACTTGATTCAGTTGTGCAGTCAAAACACAATCCGTGTCTAAGTTAGCTCAAAGGAGCGTGTGTAGGAATATTGCTCTCGTAAGCTGTTAGGAACAATTTGGCC